TGGAAATTATAGACAAATATCCTTGTTACTGATTTTTCCAGTATATTCCAGAGAATGTTATGTACCTTATCGCAAAAATATACATATGAAAAACTCCAGTCAAAACTAAATGGGTCGTATTTGAAGTATTGTTTAGCAAATATATTTTGCAAAGTCGACTTCTGCTATAAAAGTGGTTCCTTACATTATATTTGCAGGATGTTTCATTTGGGTTGGTTATTTTATTGTTGTGAAGCGTGATTGAGGCTCTTATGTTTAATGGTTATGAATTATTTGTCCAGTTTATTCCACAGTTGATTTAAACTTTATATTTTTTCTTTGTGATTTGTAAATAAACCCCAGATTTATTGGGACCTTCGTATGTACAATTCTAGATATCTGCTGGACCTCTTTGACGGGGCAAGGCCACAATAGCATGGACTGTTTTTGCTAAATCCACAGTAGATTTTCCTAGCACATTTAAATTATTAAAAACTGAGGTTCTGGATGCTTCTAAAAAAATGTAATAAGGAGTGTCCACAAGGTGGTTGTTGACTGTACAAGATGGCATCATATGACCAATTAATTACAAATTAGAAAGCGTTTACATGTGCCTTGTTTCTATCAAGTTTTAGTGTAAATCTACTAGCGTTCCATAACAAATGCCATTTGCTAATTGGCTACGCTACTCACTGTCTATTCTCTTGTAGATACTGAGTAGCCTATATATAGCAGTGTGTACTTTATGACAAACTGGCGGTCGCTTCTTTCCATTTTTAAGTGTCTGTGAAGAGGATGTAGATAAAGTTATGAACGACTAGTAGGTTTACACTAAACAACTAGATTATTTAGTCTCAATTTCTATTCGTGATAGTTGACTTGGGCTGTGCCCTCGTCAACTATCATGCAACAGAAATCTGTAGCTCATAATCTAATTGTTTAATAGAATCGCAAGTGGAAGTTTCAGTGAACGAGAAATGCTGTGGGAACATGAGTCAACAGGCGAGTGTTTCCACAGCTTTTTCAAGTTCTCCTAAACTTCCACGAGTGTTTCTATTAAACAATTATTGGATAATTTTATGAGCTCAAGATTTCTATTACGCATGGAAATCGAGAGTGAATACAGCACTGTAATCTAGTTATTTTGTGTAAATCGACTTTGAAAATGTCAAGAAGTGGCCGTCATTTTGTTAACAAGGGTAGACTGCTACACTACTCACTGTAGAATAGATAGTGAGTCGTGTAGCCAATCAGAGAACGGCATTCATGGTAGAACACTAGTAGACTTATACTAAAACTCGATAGAAACACGGAGAACATGACTATTGTTTTCTACTACTTTCAGAAAGTTCTGCGATGAAAAAAAGAAAACTTGTTTACTTTGCTTGTCAATATGTAAATTCTCTTTGTTTGCGCCATTATTACATCAACAACTCACCCTAGTGCTGTGACGCTATTGACTTATGAAAATACGATTTTAAACCAATCATGTATATTTTCTTTGGGCTATTTCCTAAATTAAATTAATGTTCACCTCGCTTGGGTGTGAACTTATTTTTGTAGAAAAAGTGGTATATTTTCATGGAAATAATCTGGGCACATTTTCCAGATACAAGGTTCATCGATATTAAAATGTCTTTTTTTCTTGTTATTTGCATTTAGAAAAAAAGCCACAATAAACTTAAGCTTAATCTGAGTAAGCTTACATGTTGATGTTATTGATGTTTTTTGGTCAATTTGTCAGGCCATATAGCATTTTGCTAGATTCATGTACCATAAGCTTAGTTTTTTAACTTCGAATAACTGCAGGAAGTTCAGTAGCGGTTATATAAACTAACTATTTTCACCTTCAATCTTCAAATAAGACTCGAACCTTCCTAGAATGAGTCTGGCAATTCTCCTCCGCTTCTGTTTCGTTCAGCTGGAGATTGCCGAACATTTCCATATTTAGTAGTTTCCGATTGTCTGGTTTTTAACCGACCAATGAAAATGCGTCGCTGTGAAAACGGAAAACGTCACTAGGTCTGTCTTTGGCCGGGAGGTTGTCTCTTTGATACCAGCTACGGTGGAAAATACTGAACTAGAATCCAAGTATTTTAGGCAGATTTGTGTGCTGGGTATCAATATTTTTTACTGCAACGAGAGCTTCAGAGTATCTTCTATAAGTGGTTGCCCGTTAAGACATGGGCAACGCTCCAACGAAGAGAGGAGACCCAGAAAATGGTATAATAAATTTCGCGGGGGCATCTGTTGTTATACTCATGCAAGCGAAAAACCTTCATGTTTTGTTTTGTTATCTTTCCCGTAGTAAGAGCGTTCCTGAACGAGGCAAAAGAAGAGTTTAATTCAAAATGGGAGCATCCATCACAGGTGAGAATTTTTCTTGTACGTTTGTTAATTATAGAGTCGTATCTTCGTTCGGTTTCAACTAAAAATATATTCACCTTTTTCATGTACACTCTTTTGTTGGGTGAGACTTGTAAATTACTTTAAACGGTGCTCTGTTCTTTAAAGATTGTATTGCGAACAACGGTGCTTGATTCTAAGTCTGCTTGTTGGAAGCACACGATTACAAGGTTTTCGTATCGGCGACCCGAAACTTACTTTACCTTTGGAAGTATAATTTCTTTATTGATTTTCGCGATGTCGCTCATGTCATGTCTGTTTGATGCATACAGAATACGGCTGGTTTGGAGGACTTCGAGCGTCTGAAGACCTTGGGAACTGGATCATTTGGTCGTGTTATGCTTGTACAACACAAGAGTAGCTCACGATATTTTGCAATGAAAATATTAGACAAGCAAAAGGTAATCTTGGTTTTGTTCTGTTGAATATATATTGAGTCGGGTTGCCGAAGAATATATTGTTTTTCAAGACGATGACTGGCGGAGGTTTTTATTTTTTAGCTTCGTGAGAATTTTTGTGTTGGAAATCGTCTCCTCACAGTTTGCTTCCTTGACCGTGGTTAGTCGTAACTAGTTTACCTGTTGCTTTATTTTTGTAGTCGATAATTTCTGTGTTGCTCACGAATTTCAAAATAATGTGAAATGCACATTGTAAGTTGTAAATAACAACCTGTTCGTCGACTTATTCGCAAATGTTAATTTGAAGATCCGCGCGTCACGTACTAAGACAGCGAAGGCAAATGCATAAAATCGACGTGCTTTTTTTGCACATCTGTTTGCAAGCATAAAATTGCTACATTCTTGTTGTGCTGTGTTTGCAATAGTTGGTCATTCGAAGTGAATGATTACATTAGGATTTGGGGACCAATCTTACAATGTAACAGGTGTTATAGTAAATTAATCATCTTGATTTGAATAACATGTAAGACTTAATGGTGATTTGCTTCAAACTTGAAGGTTGTGAAGTTAAAACAAGTAGAGCACACTTTAAACGAGAAAAGGATCTTGCAAGCCATCACTTTCCCCTTCTTGGTGAATCTGGAATGGCATTTTAAGGTTGGTTGCTTTTGGTTCCAATAATTCCTTTGATCAGTAAGCTAACATTCAAATATACTTGCTTGACTCTGTAAGCACAGTATTTACTTCATCATATTAAATTTTAACTTAAGACAGGTAGCTTATTTTCAACACAAGATAGGTATATTTATAATCTAATTCAATATATGTTAAACTTATCTGGTTATGATATTGACCTAATGACAGAAAGGATTGTTAATGACATTAAAGAATATTGTAAATAGGATTGAAGTTATTTTAACTGTGAACACTGTTAGATTTGTTGTAAACTATCTGCTCAATACTATTTTGTTACTTTTTTTCCTCCTTGGTAAGTGACAACTTTAAGGACAGTTAACCTATTGGACACCTAAATACCACTGTTTACACTGCTCTGTTTATTATACTTCAGAAAGTACTCTTTTCTTATCAGACATTCTTTTAACAGTTCTTGTTATTGAGAAGGTCTTGGCATCTTGGCGAGTCTTGGGTATTAACATACATCACCCCTTTTAGAGCAAAGAATTGATCCTAACAAAAAAGCAACTTTTGTTGTCTAGAAAATATAACTGACTAGTTTATTTAGATGGGATTCCAACTGACACAAACTTTGAACTCAATTTTAGAAACTGTAGATGAAGGCATCAAACGGAGGGTTATGTATTTGTTAATCTGAAATGTACCCATTGATAACAAATAGAAAGTGCATTTAAAAAATGTACATTTTTAAAATGGTTCAATTTTAGGTTAGCTGTTATATGTCCCATATAAGATAACCCCTGAGCCTGGGGACAAAAATGATCCTTCAAGAATTATAAAGATGTCTTTTTGTAGCAGAACCAAGGAAAATGATTTTAATATTTCTTATTATTAGGATAATTCCAACTTGTATATGGTTCTGGAGTTTGTTCTGGGAGGTGAAATGTTCTCTCATCTACGACGTATTGGAAGATTCAGGTAACTAGAAATGATTTTTTTAAATGTAAGGGTAAAGTGTAAGTCTGCTCCCCAATACTTTAGCAGTCTTGTTCATTTCTGCTTATCCTTTCTTGCTTGGGTTACTAGCATGTAGATTATGTTGTGGAATCAGAGGAAAAAATATAGCCCTTGAACCATGCAAGTTTTTCTGGGTTGAACCCCCTTCCCACCCCTTTCAAAATTCTACTTTGGCTTCACACTTTCTTGTAGAATAATATTGTTGTCTTTTGACATACTCCCCCTACTCCCAGGAATCTCCAATGACCTACCTTAGGCTACATGCATGTATTGATTCAACTGCATATTTTGAGTTTGGATGCAAAAGGACTTATAATAATAAGCTTTACACTACTTTTCCCCCCATCTTTGCTTAGAAATATTGATGTCTGTCAATTCATTTAAACGTTTATGGACACAGTTGGACCGTGCTAAATCAAATTCGGTTGTTTCAAATTCCCCATTATCTTGAACTGAAAACCATTTCCCTTGGATTTGACCTTCAGTCATTTACTATTGGCCTTTTTGAACTCCTGCCATTCCAAACTATTTTTTGTTTCCCCTGAGAGTTTGAAATAGTGGGGTTCAACTGTAGAAAGTAGTTACTAATATATATAAGATGAAGAGTAAAGATGATATTTATTCATAGTTCTAAATAGTTGGTCTATTAGACAATGTATCTGACTGTGCATATTATTTTCACTTCTTGGGACATTGCCATAAGAATTTTGATAGTAGTAAATAGCAGTGATAGCCTGTTGAAGCTGATTTATTAGTTTCAAGTTCTGCTGACATGACCTCAAGACAAATATTTTATCACTCGTCCTTTGCGCTTATTTTTAATCACTTCACACATAGCATGTAAAATAAGTCACTTGTTGAGGGTAATTGTTGTTGTACAGGACAGAATATAAGAAATATTTCATACATTTTCCTTCCATATTTTCATCTTCTGTGGGTCTATTACCAACTAACATGACCAGCTCC